AGTGGGAGGGGCTGTAGTTTCCAGGCAATGCTGTTGAAGTAAAGTTCTGTTGGGGGGAATTTTATAATAATCTTCTGCTTATACCTTGGAAATCTGAGCCTCCATCTCATCATCAATGAAACAGAAATCTTGCTCTGCTCTCTCCCATGTCCTTGTAAAAGTCCCAATGTCATTGGGTAGAGATCGCTCCATTACAGAAGAGTCCTGAGGCTTCCAGAAAGGGCTTGTAGTTCTTCCCTGTCTTTGCAATGAACAGGCACCTCTTTAGTCTTCATAGGACTACCAAACCTTCTCCTTTGCCTTCTGATCCATCTGACCTTCCCCTGCCCCCAGAAACCCATGTACAGCCTTTATTTATCATTGTCCACAGCTGCTTCCCACCCTGTATTGAGTTCTGCTGACTTTCTAGCCATATTACTCTCTTATACAGTCCCAAGGCAGGAAGTTCCCTGGGGACCAGGGACCTGGCCTTATTTAAGGAGTGGGAATCAGGGTAAATCACTTAGCAGTATTTGCCAGAGGAATCTTCTCCTCCCTGCCCTCCTTGCAAGTTGCTGAGCCCAGCTCAACACTGTCTTTCTCTCTAGACTCCTCCTGCAGACAGAAGAGGCTGACATAACATCCTTCCATCCCAAATTCTTGAGAGAATCCAAGGCCAGCTCTCTACCACTTGAGCTATAGCACCACTTCCAGTTTTCTGGTGGTTAATTGGATGTAAGAGTCTCATAGACTCTCCTTGCCTGGGCTGGCTTTGCACTGCGATCCTCAGAACTCAGCCTCCTGAGTAGCTAGGATTACAGGCGTGAACCATCATCACTTGGCCAGGACTGCCAGCTTTTTTTTTTTTGGTGGTTGTGGTGTTTGAACTCTGGGCCTGGGCGCTGTCCCCCAGCTCGTTAGCTCAAGGCGAGCGCTCTACCACTTGAGCTACAGCGCCACTTCCAGTTTTCTAGTGGTTTATTGGAGATAGGAGTCTCACGATCTCTCCTGCCCGGGCTGGCTTTGAACTGCGATCCTCAGATCGCAGGATTACAGATAGCTAGGATTATGGGCATGAGCCACCGGCACCTGGCGACTGCCAGCTTTGAATGGAGGTTCTGCCAGCTGAGCCTCTGATCAGGTAGATCCACTGGTGTTTAAATTGTCTGTGAAATAGGCATAGGGTAGGAAGTGTCCAGGAACCAAATCAGACACCCCTCTGGGTCCTCATTTGGGAGAAATTTACAAATAAGAATTGTCTTTTTAGCCAGATGCTAGTGGCTCACACTTGTAATCCTAACACCTTAGGAGGTTGAAATCTGAAGACTGTGGTTCAAAGTTAGGGCAGGAAAATCCATGAGAGTCTTTTCCCTAATAAACTACCAAACCAGGGCTGGGAAGGTGGCTTAGTAGTAGAGTGCTTGCCTTGCATGCATGAGGCCCTAGATTTGATTCCTCAGCACCACATAAGCAGAAAAAGCCAGAAGTGGTGCTGTGGCTCAACAGGTAGAGTGCTAGCCTTGAGCTGAAAAGCTGAAGGACCGCGCCCAGGCCCAGAGTTCAGGCCTCACAACCGGGGAAAAAAAAAAAAAAGCAAAACAAACAATCTACCAAACCAAAAGAGGATACTCTTAGGGGAGGAATGCAAAGGCACAATGCTTATGTGTCTCTGATCATATAATGTTTATCAAAATGAACTCCAGGAAATGGAAACAAGAGGCTTTTTTGTTTGCTTAAAAAAGTAAACTATTCCCCCCATGTCCACAAACAAAAAGCCAGAAGTGGAGGTATTTCTCAAGTGGTAGAGCGCTAGCCTTAAACAAAAAAAGCTCAAGGATAGTACCCTGACTCTTAAGTTCAAGCCCTAGGACTGACACAAAAAGAAAAGGAAAAGAATTGTCTTTTGAGAAGTGTCTACTTGGTGCTGATCCCTGGTAGAGACTGAACACCTGATCTTGAGACACGAAGTGATTTTGCAACCTGAACTTGGTGTTATCTAGTCCACCCATCCACACAGCTAGCATTCAGAGTGAGCAGAGAGCCAGCATCCTCCAGAGATGATGCTGATAGATGGAGGTTTGCAAGGCTTGTTTTGGAGAGGGGGGCAGGGATCGTGGTCTCATTTCACTAGAGCTACTGGCCGCATTGGGGTAAGAATATTGTTGTTGTTCTTTTTTTTTTTTTTTTTCTTGCCAGTCCTGGAGCTAAAACTCTGGGGCTGGGCACTAGTCCTGGGTTCCTTTTGTTTAAGATTAGCATTCTACCACTTGAGTCACAGTGCCAGTTCTGGGTTTTTCTGTGATTAATTGGAGATAAGAGTCTCACAGAGGGCTGGGAAGGTGGCTCAGTGGTCTTGCCTTGCATGCATGAGGCCCTGGGTTCGATTCCTCAGCACCACATAAGCAGAAAAAAAAAAGCTGGAAGTGGTGCTATGGCTCAAGTGGTAGTGTGCTAGACTTGAGCTGAAGAGCTGAGGGACAGTGCCCAGGCCCAGAGTTCAGACCCCACGACCAGACCACCCCCCCAAAAAAAAAGTCTCACAGAGCTGGATGTTGGTTTTTCATGCTGGTAATCCTAGCTACTCAGGAGGCTGAGATCTGAAGATCACAGGTCAAAGCCAATCTAGGCAGGAAAGTCTATAAAACTCTTATCTCCAATAAACTACTTAGAAAAAGTCAGAAATGGCACTATTGCTCAAGTGGTAGAGTGCTAGCCTTGAGCAAAAGAGGCTCAAAGATAGTACCCTTGCCCAGAGTTCAAGCCCCAGGACCAGCAAAAAAAAAAGTCACTGGTTTTCCTGTCCTGGCTGGCTTCGACCCACAGTCCTCAGATCTCAGCCTCCTGAGTAGCTAGGATTACAGGCATAAGCCACTAGTGCCCTGTCATATCATTCTTGAATAGGAATTTGACTAGGAGTTCTGGGGTGAATAGTTTTCCAAATTCTAGCTAAAGTAGTGCCATTTTGTGTCAGGCCTACATTTGTTTGTTCTTGGTACTGAGGCTCTGTGATAGGTTGCAGGAAAGCAGAGCCATCCTTCCTGTGGGCTAACTGTTCACTGTACCCTTCAAAATCTCTGATAAGGACAAGGATGAAAAGCACCCTCAAACAGAGTTCCTTTCTAGGTCTGGGTTGCTCTGTTCTCAGCGAGGTGCTACCCATATTGGGTGGCAACTGCCTGTGAATAGTCCAACACTGCAGAGAATCCCTAACATTCATTCACTCATCAAGTTGGACTTGCTCAAGTCATTGTTTGATCTATGGGTGGCATCCCAGTTTGGAGTCAGAAGTTTCTTTTCTGTTTCCTTGGAAAATTCACACAGGAAGAGTATAGAGGGTCTGCATGATTGTTGGAGAGCCCATTGGGGTGGGCAGAGACAGCAGTGTTTGTAGTCTGTTTACCCTTTGCCCTGTCTTTTCCTTGGTTATTTGTTTTTGGGGTCCGGTCATAGGGCCTGAACTCTGGGCCTGGGCGCTGTCCCTTAGCTCTTCAGCTCAAGGCTAGTGCTCTACCACTTGAGCCACAGTGCCACTGCTGGCTTTTTTTTTCCTTTTGCTTATGTGGTGCTGAGGAATCGAACCCAGGGCCTCATGCATGCAAGGCAAGCGCTCTACCACTGAGCCACCTTCCCAGCCCCTCCTTGGCTATTTTTTTAAACCTTAATGAAAATGTACAGATTCTTATACTATATTTTTGCAGAATAAATAAAATTGTGCTCTATGTTCTATAAATTAATATTTTTTGATGTTTTGAGACAAAGTCTTACTATATAGCCACGTCTAATCTGGAACTTAGTATGTAACCTGGGCTGGTCTTGAACTCATGATCCTCATGCCTCAGCCTCCTGAGTGCTGAGATTACAGGTGTGTGCCACCACATCCACGCACAAATTATATATGTTTCCCATGTAGAAACTGGGGGGTAGAGGGTATGTATCCTGGGTACCAACCAAAGGTTTTTATAAACAGGTGGTTATGAACATGCTCTGTAATCTGCAAAGCACTGGTGTCCAAGGCAGGGCAGAGGTCTGGAAAAGTCTGTTCAGGAGACAGCTCAGACCCAGCAACTTGAGATTGGAACTCAACTCTTGTTCTCATGAAGCTTCTAAAACTGTCAAGAGAATTACTCAGTACAAGGGGTTGGAAGGTGCTTGTATCTCCATTCCTCTGCTCCCCAACTTTGGAAATGGAGAGCTAGGTGGATTGCACAGTTTAGAAAAGAAAAGCAACCCGCTCCTCCTGGATGCTTTATTGGGGGCTTTCAATGGTTTCAAAGCATGAGCAGCAGTGACACCCAGGCCCTTTCCCAGCATGCAAAGGCACAGGAAAGTGAGACCCGACCGGGGGCAGCATGGAGAAGACAGAGCCCCTCCCCCTGCATGCAGCACAGGGGAGCCCCTGGAAGATGGGAAAGGTGGGCATTGAAGGAGGTGGACAGGGACACACCCCTGCCCTTGAGCTGGGACTGACCTTCTGGGGGAAGGCCAACATGGCTTTTGCTGAAAGTCCCACTTCACGGGGTGGGAAATGCAACTCAAGGTGGGGTGGGTCCGTGTGGTTGCCTTCAGGGACTTCAACTGAAATGTCAAACCGAACTCATTGGCCCATGGGGGAGGCGAGTGGAGGGTTGTGTGCTCATGGGGTCCGTCCCGGTCATGGCCAGTTTTGGGGATGTCACTGCCTTGGCTTGAGCCAGTGCTGTTTCAGTCCATGTCCAGGAGAAGAATGAAGCCCCTTCTGATCTTCTGGGGCCTCTCGCGGACTCTCTGGCTCTCCAGCCCCAGATGGAGGTACTGGTTAGAAGAGTAGACTCGTCGGTGTTGGCTTTGTCCTGTAAAAGAGGTCCTGGCAAGAAGGAAGGGGAGGCGAAGGGTCAAGCCCTCTGAGCCCCCGGCACCTCCCAGAACCTGAGCCCTGATGGACGGTACGTCCTGGGACTCACCTCAGATCCTAACCAGTCCCCACAATAACGTCTTGAGACCTTGAATCAGAAAAGGCATTCGTGTTTTGTTTCTGTTCTCTCTCTCTTTCTCTCTTTCTCTCCTAGTAGAGCTGTGACCTCAAGTCACAGCCTTGGCGACGTCTACTTCTAAACTATGGAATGTGGTCACACTGACGATAGAATTACTGGGAGCAAGGGGCAGGGAAGTGCTGTCCATGTTCACGGGGCTGAGTTACTGAGAGGTCTTTGGGAATCACACAGCACAGAGACACCAACAGTCAGACACCAAGCCTCTGGGGGCCTGGCTCTAGATGTATTTTTTCTTGAGGTACCAGTAGGCAAAGTAGCCCATCCCACCCAGGGAGCCCATGAGGAAGGATGCCCCGAAGAATGACGGGGGTTTCCGCTTGACCAGCCGGAATGCATTGGGGATGACGGCCGACAGCAGGGTGGTATGGATGTCACCGAGGACTTTCCGGAAGGCAAAGCGTCTCTGGACCCTCTCAAAGAAGGACTGCAGGTTGGGCCGGCTGCCATCTTCCCAGTATTTCTTGGACAGTCCCAGGAACTTGAGGCGGTGCAGGGTGGCCCCCAGGAGCACGTCGGCAAGGGTGAAGGCACAACCACAGAGCCACAGCTCACATTTCTGCCCTGGATGGGGGACAGGAAAACCTGGGCACTCCACGACTCTCATCTTCCTGCCATTATCTCCCGAGTCTTTGTTCAACTTGGATGATGTTTAATGTAGATCCTTAAGTGTGTCGCCTCTATTCTTTTTATTTTAGATCAAGTGTGTATGTGTGTGTGTGTGTGTATGTGTGTGTGTGTGTGTGTGTGTCTGTGTGTACTCAGGTCCTCAAGTTCTTGCTTGGTTGTTTCCCTCATGGCTAGGTATCCTGCCTCTTGAGCCAAATCTCTACTTCCATTTTTTTTTTTTTGCTACTTTATTTAGAGATCAGACTCTCTCAGATTTGTCTGCCCCAACTGACCCCAAACCTCAATCTTCATACGTCTAAGTAGGTGGATTATAATCATATGCCTATAATTACAGCCACTTGACTCAAATGTCTCTGTGTGCACACAAACATATAACACACCAGTACTAGACTGTAAACTTGAGTTTCTTGCTCTCACTTGGCTTCTTGTACTCAAGGCTGTCACTCTACCACTTGAGTAACAATGCCACTTCTGGTTTTTCTGTGTAGTTTATGGAGATAAGAGTCTCATAGGCAAGCTAGGCGCCGGTGGCTCACACCTGTAATTCTAGCTACTCAGAAGGCTGAGACTCAGGGACAGTGCTCAGGCCCAGAGTTCAAATCCCAGGGCCAGCAAAACAAAAACAAGTCTCATAGGCTTTTCTGCCTGGACCAGCTTTAAACCAAAATCCTCAGATCTCAGCCTCCTGAGAAATCTCAGCCTCCATGGTGTGAGCCACCATGGTCACCAACTAATTAGCTTTATCTTTAAAATACATCTTATTTCTGGTGTTACCGCCACTTTCACCATTTGAGTCCAAACAACCATAAGTTCTACTGGCACTATCATATGGTCCCTTGGGAGGCCCTGCTGTTTCAGCCACCAGCCCCTTGAGTCTGTTCTCAACACAGAAGCCAGCAAGATCCTGTTAAAACCTAAATGAAGCCCTCACTGGTAGATTAGTCCTGTAATCTTAGCTACTCGGGAGACTGAGATCTGAAGATCATGGTTCAAAGGCAGCCCAGGCAGGAAAGTCTATGATACTCTTACCTCCAATTAACCACCAAAAATCTGGACCTGAAACTGTGGTTCAAGTAACAGAGCATCAGCTTGGAATGAAAAAGCTAAGGGACAGTGTCTAGGACCTGAGTTCAAGCCCCAGTACCAGCCCACAACACACACACACACCCTTTGGCAAGGCAAGTAATTCCACCTTTTTATGGTCAGAGTAGAAGCTGAGGCCTTTCAAGCCCTACAAAGCTTTCCCTATGTAATATGTCCCAGGTGCCTTCCAGACTCCGGACTCCAGGTTCGTGTGTGTGTGTGTGTGTGTGTGTGTGTGAGAGAGAGAGAGAGAGAGAGAGAGAGAGAGAGTTCAAGCTAGTGCCATCAGTAGTAGAGCCAGGAAATGGACAATACCAGCAAGGGAGTGAGTGAGTGTGCGCAGGCCTGAGAACAGGACAGGAAGCAAACCCAGTGGCTTCTGGAGCTTAGAGGTTGGGCAACAAAGAATAACCAGCAAAGATGAGAAGGTTCAGGAAGTTGAACTAGGAAAGTGTTGGAGGAGAAGGCAATGCATGGCTGTATCATGCATAAGAGGAGGCCCAAAGCTGGGCACCCGTGGCTCATGCCTGTTATCCTAGCTATTCAGGAGGCTGAAATCTGAGGATCACGGTTCAAAGCTAGCCTGGGCAAGAAAGTCCATGAGACTTTTATCCTCAATAAACTACTCAGAAAAAGCTGGAAGTGGCACTGTGGCTCAAATAGTAGAACACTAGCCTTGAGCAAAAGAAGGTTAGAGACAGCACCCAAGCCCTGAGTTCAAGCCCCAGGACCTGGCCTGGCTGGGACATTCAGCAACTGGTGACCTTGACAAGAGAAGTTGGAGGAAATGCTGATGTTGAAGGCATGGCTGGAAGGAGCTCAAGAGGGAAAGGAGAAGTGGAGATGGTAAGCGAAGCTCCCTCAATCCTAAGGAGTTTGTTGTAATGGGAGGTACAGGCTAGCACTGTGAGACAGGCCAAGAGCATGTTTGTAAGTCAGGAGGAAGAAAAGGCAGGTTGATGGGATGATCAAAAAAAAAAAAAAGCCAACATAGATACTACAGAAAAGAGTGGAGAGAATCACTGATGCAGTTTTTGTTTGTTTGTTTGTTTGCCAGTCATGGGGCTGAACTCTGGGCCTGGGCACTGACCCTCAGCTTTTCAGCTCAAGGCTAGTGCTCTACCACTTGAGCCACAGCGCCACTTCTGGCCTGTTCTGCTTATGTGGTACTGAGGAATCGAACCCAGGGCCTCATGCATGCAAGGCAAGCACTCTACCACTGAGCCACCTTCCCAGCCCTGATGTAATTTTGATCTGATGAGCGTAGATGGGCTCTAGTGCGTGCGAGGGGATTGGTCTTAGCTAGGTTCAAGGACAGCTCCCCCTTGGTGACATGCTACCATGATTTGTCATATCTAAGTTACCATCACATGCAAGAGGTCCACCCAGAAGTAAGAGAATAATTGGGCTCTTGGCCATAAGAAACATCCCAATGTCACAGCTGTTAAGATGGAATTTAATAATGATGTATCTTGGAATGGCTAAGACACGTGTGCTCTGGACTCTGCTGTGGGTGGGTGGGCTGTCGTGGAGGTGGGATTGTGAGAGCTTCCTGTAAGACTCTCATTTCCTGTTATATAGAGAGGAAGAAGCTACGGTCCCCTAAGGAGAATGCTCACCAAGTTCAAGTGAGTTCTACCGATGTTTCTCCAGTCATATGTTGGGACCACAGGTAGAAGTACTGGGTAGGTGGTGCTCCAGGCTTATTCAGGTCTGAGGTTTGACAAAGTGAGCCTGACAAAGCCAGAGAGGAGGGGCTGGGAAAGTATCTCAATATAAGAGTACTTGCCTTGCCGGGCGCTGGTGGCTCACGCCTGTAATCCTAGCTACTCAGGAGGCTGAGATCTGAGGATCGCGGTTCAAAGCCAGCCCAGGCAGGAGAGACCGTGAGACTCCTATCTCCAATAAACCACCAGAAAACCGGAAGTGGTGCTGTAGCTCAAGTGGTAGAGTGCCTGCCTTGAGCTG